ACAACTGGTATTCATCCTCATCATCAGTATCGACAGCTTTGCTGCCGTACAATCACGATTCATTTGAATGCCCTATTGTGTACAAGAGGAGAAAAGTGGATGGAGAGGGGACTTTGTGCTAACTTACTACAATCATTCCGAGGTGTTTACACCTCCAAACACTCACTCTGGTCGGAAACTGACAACAAAAACGCCACTGACATCGTTGGCAACCACATCTTGTAGTGTCTCCAACCAGGCGCAGTGAGGATCACGCGGCCTCCATCCTGGAAGGCGAGTCGCACCGACAGCACCCAAGCGTTTCGTGATCTCCTTCATACTCCTCTGCCAGGTCAAGGGTTGGCCATCTCTCTGTTTACAGCACTCTGAATTGGGCGTGGAAAACAGCACCCTCTTCGACAAACGATGGTTCGGCATACGCAACACATGTCCCAACCAACGCAGCTTCTGGTGCTGGACACATTCTTCAACGGAAGTAACCGTCGCACAAACGAAAACGCGCCCTCTAACTGCCTCGTTACGGATTCGCCGACACCATGGCACAGGATAGGCAAGCTGATGCCCGCAGGATACCAAATCAGTAAACGAGCATTTTATCAACATCGTACAATCTACTTCATTCAATGATCAAGCTGGGAATAGTCGGTTTCAGTGCTGTATAGTTTGATAACCGCTTTACTTATTATAACCAGAGCTGAAGAAAATTGTTGATCCTGTCCTACGATAAAACGTCACCAAGATGCGTCTCATAAAATTCTTCGAAAAAACTGTTGTTTACTTGGAAAAATCTAAAACCTACAAAATATCAATGTGTCCATTTCACAACGATTCCACAAGATAACATGAATCTCGTGTCATGGCTTTACAGCATCTAGAAGTATTTTGATAAACATGGATCCACTTTCCTTAAAAGGGGAGAATCTCCAAAGGTCATTCATGGTTCTTACCGTCTCCCTGTTTCGCTTTCAGGCTTCCGCCCGAACGAAATCCATTTCCATTTGAGTGGGAATCGATTAAAACTCTGCTGCACTGGTACTCTGAACCAGACAAATGGCAATCATACCATGGAAATCGAGACCGACAAAGTACAAGCACCGTTTAAAGCAAAACCACCATTTGTTGTGATTCAAAATGGAAATACCTGTCCAAATTTCTATAGCGGGACAGAGAATTTGGCTTTTGTTCAAGTAAGTCACCATTAGTACACAGTTCGTTACGTTTTGCTTGACTACTTAGTGTGGAAAGACTAACAGCCAATCTGATATGCGCATAATCATAAAATGTCAGCACCAAGTTGTATGTCAGTGAGGTAGTGCTATCCGATGACGATGGCGGGAAATAAGTGATCACGTTGTACTTCCAAATTTCGCCCTCTGGTCCCACGGCCACTGACCACAGCTGATCGATAGATTGCCACTCAGGGAAGTTCAAAATCTCAAATGACCAGTTTTCAAGAAAATCCGGTATTTGGAACTAACAGAAAATACACTGCACGAAGCATTTTGTCACAATATCGAGATGGTTTTACAAAGACTGCCCATAGCAGAATTTGTCGCTCCGATACAAGACAATTACTGCTTTTTCAGGGTGACATGTGGTCAGAGGAGAGCCAAAAAAACAATTGACAGTCAATCAGGAATAGATTCCCTGGTCTCATGTTCGGCGGAAACGATCTCTGAACATAAATTATTCATGGGTGGACCAATAAGCTGGGCCGTTAGTGAAATCAAGCGTAGTGACCACGTTTCACAAAATATACACTGTCAATTTTTGACCACTTGCGTCTGTTGATCTGTTCACCGAGTTTGAACACTGTTTTGCAAACGCCTTGTCAGAATACGAGGAAACATGATCACTGCGTAGTCAATTGGGTACATCTTGCTTTGCGTGCGTTTATATAGCATCGAAGGAGTACCTGTTATCCCTTAACCTGATTGGCTAGTTGAGGGACAGCGCTTTCGTGAATCTATCGGTCCGGTTGTGATCTTTGTTGCGTACGCGTTGTGCACATTGTCTATCATATCGAAATCTGTGTGCTTGATCCATCTCAGTTCATCGTTGTTCGTATCTTTCTACACTGATCAGTACACCAGACCTATGCCGCGTACAAAGTCTACGAAGATGACGCTAATTGGACCGGATGACCCACTTAGAACCTCCGAGGGATTTGGTGTGGGCGTGTGCCAGTATATAACACAAAATGGTAAGTAAGGAACGGTGGGTTTTGAAACCGTGAAGTAATTGTCTTCGAAACTGGGTATGCTCACAAAGATGGCTATTTTTGGGAATTCCAACACGCAACTTGCGAATTACCTAAGGTTTTGTCAGGTGATGATGAGAATATGGCGGTTCGGCGGTCTGCAGTACATCCTTTAGTTGAAGTCAGTCTATGCCAGAAATCCGGAAGTAAATGCGAAGTTGTGTTACCCATGTTGAGCACAATCACCTATATATACCCTGGATATATATATATATATATCCAGGATATGAATGGAACACCACCACTCGGGTGAAGGTGATCGATCAGCTGTTATTGATCAGTACGTGGACACTGTATGGTAGCACTCACCGACGAACAAGGCAGTTCGTTTCACGTCGTCCAATTATGATTGGCTCTGGGGATGGTTGGTGTCCAGTGTGTTTCTTGGTTTTGTTCCACTTTTGAATACATCGTTGCACTTTTCATCACTTAACTAGGATGAACCACTAGCCAAATGAGCAGTGTTCTGGTGGTTAACGGCCCTAGGGGGTCACTAATAAACAGAATAAGCTATCATCGTAAGTCAGACATAATGTCACCAGGGGAACGATCCAAGAAACTTGCTTCACAGTTCACAAAGGGGAATTCCTCAGGTCCGTAGTCCACTGAGTCGCATCAAGAGTAGAAGGTTCCACTTTCCTGGTATTCCAAACCTCCGGTAATCCACTGATGTGACTGGATGGGTCTAGTGGTTGCAGCTAAAAATGTTTGTTCATGTTGGAAATCGGTGCCAGTCAGTGCTATTCAACAGACAACAGTCACTTATCAAAACGCGCAATGCCCCGTTGAGGCCAAGAATCAGGGGTTTGTTGTTGTATTTCAGTAAACCAACGTTTGTACAATAATGTTGACAGGGAAAAAGGAGATGATATTGAGCAGGAAAAATAGCAGCTTACAAGTGCTACAGTGTCAGTGACGAAATTTTTGCAACCGAATTACGTTTCTTAGTGAATAACTTGATCATCAGATTACTACAATTTGTAAGTAGTGAGATCCCCGGCGTATCATATCTAGATTTTGTTTTATGGGTGAGCTTAGTCTGATGTTCAAGGGCCCAGAAGCATTATTAGTGCACAGTTGAGGGTGGCCTTAATACAGATCAGAAGGTGTAATAAAAGTTTTTTAACACGGCTGGCTGTGATGGGTTGCAACATGTATAAAAATAAATACAAGGCAATAATGGGAGCAAGTCAAAAAAAAGAACTTATCGTCTGTGGGAGTCCCTTGGTGAAAGTCCGGACGGCGGTAACGTGTTTTCTCCGCAATTTGGCTGCTACACGTATTCCCTAATTGTACGTGAACTTGGGGTGTTTGGCTGAATCCTTGCTCCCTTCGAGCGCGCAAGTCTGTGTGTGCTGACTGTGTTCGGTTTCCCTATATGTAGGTCCATTTGCGTGTACGTGGGCGCCTCGGCACATGAGTAGTTGCTACGCTGACTAGACGATACAGACAATCGGTGTCCGATAGGTCAGCTTAATGTGACGTGTTTGAGTATAAAAAACAAGTCTCATGATCCAGTGAGCGACTGTAAGCTGAACAGTCAAGTGTGTGGGTGACAGGGTAGCTACAGCATCGCACACCTGTTTCACCCATGCATCGAAACCTGAGAGATGCACCGTTAACGAACCTGCTGGATGAACTGTCAGAAGAACGCTTTCAGCCATAAAAGAACAAGACAGATTTTATTGGTTTCAAACCTCACATACAACCCAAGTCATATCGATTTTCCGTAGGGGACTTCTAAGTTTAGGTTTGCCTCAAACAATCAAATCCAAAGATTGCGTTTTATTCTCGTCTGTTTCAGCTATTTGGTCGTTTTAAGAGAATCAGCATAACAAAACGGCTGTTTTTCTGGGCTGCGCGAAAAGTTTATGAAATGTCTCAAAGATGAGTCATCCTGGTGGGATGTGTCGTGTGCGGCTGTTAAGGCTGTGGCCTATAGCAATTTTGGGTTTTCGCTAAGCATGTGGAACCAACACTTTATTTGTCAGGTCGACCGACTGTTACCGCAGAGAGTAGGGTGCCTTTCTGGCGAACTGATTTCAAGCGTTTCTATTTTGAGTTCTTTCATATCGTTATTGAGATTTAGGTTGTTTCAATAAGATCAACAGAAACCTGAGAATCTGTTTACCATGGGTAGCCCTAAAACCTACTGAGCTGTTTCCTGTGCGCCAGCCAAATCTTGGTAACTTTCTGCATGAAGCTGTATTCTTGCATTTTCATGACTTTGCACATGAATTCTGCTATCTCAGCTGGTCGCACGGATACCCGAAACAGCCTCATCGTTCCTTCGTGGATTTTTAAACTGAATCCAAAGATAGAACGGCCACCAAGCAAGTCGTCGGGTGGTCAGCTTGGTGACGGAGACTGCTCATCCGCCACAGCACAACCACCAAACTACATGGTGCATCTGATTTTCATTGCCGAGCGTATCGATCGGCAGATACGGCGGTTTGCTTACTGTGATGAGTCATCGGGAGTGGGCCTGTGAGATCAGATACGAAGATTGCGTTCGGTCGGAAGGCGTTTAGACGGGATGCCGCTCATTGTGAAGCCCATCGCCGTGGATGAGGGGTTTGAAAACGCCTCAGGCCCAAGCGTGTGAGGAATTCAACAATACAGGGTGATACTAATGTGTGATACCAATGTTGAGTGGGTGAGCTTGGCTGGAGGAGATCAACACGCCGCGATTGGTAGGCTAACCGAAAAGTTTCTTTGGGGCTCTCCCTGAGTTAGAAAGACATGGCATTGGAGACGCATTCAAGCTGCTCATTTATAAGAATACGTTGCGCAGTGTTGCAGTCCCCCCTGTGACTGGCTTACATCGGCACAAATGTGTGCGGGAAGCTTCACTGTTCGCTTTTTGAGAAGTGACATTTCTGTTGTTGCAGTCCCCCTGTTACTGGCTTACATCGGCACAAATGTGTGCGGGAAGCTTCACTGTTCGCTTTTTGAGAAGTGACATTTCTGTTGCACCAACGTTCTATAAAATGATCGATTTTTGAGTTCCTGATCTCAAATCAACGGATCCGCTTGCCACACTTCATGCGGCACCCAAATTTTTCGCGGCTTATTACCTAGCTCGGTATTTCCCCAAGTTTTGTTTGACCAATGTCATGAAGCTCGTGCCCTCGAAGTCACGCTGTCGACTCACCCCCGTTATTCCGATTAATTTGGATAAATTTGGAATAAAGCCGTGAACGCTAGTCGACACGCTATTCTAGACCATGTTTATTATGCTCTCTCATGTCCATGACAGATTTGTCAGATGGTGCATCGCGGAACGCTAGGGTAGGTTATTGCTAGGCAGCCGGCGATGACATTAGACGTAAGCAGTTCATGATGTATCTCATCAGATAGCTTGCTGATACTCGCCCACATGACCTTGGCCCTATCTCAGATGACAGACTCATAGACCAACATATTTTATAGGGAGAACAGAATTACTTGAAAGAAGCACTCGTGATAAAATTTGCTAGTCATGGAAAATTCTTCACAGCAAACCGTGTTGCTTGAATGGGGGCTCCAGAATTTGGACGCCTCTATATAATAAATGTGTTTCGTTGAATTCACCATCCAGTCACCGATGGACCAATTTTTATCGGATTAATCAACTGGACTGTCTCCAGGAGCCACTGTGTAGACAGCCTTACTCGATTAACAACGGCAACTGGACAGTCTTGTTGACTTCTCTAAAAGTACGTAGTAAATGAAGTGTCTGAACTGAGGTTCTTTCAGCTCGTCAAGTTCCAAGACATTCTACCGAAGAAGAAAGCAGTTTTATGTTGCAGTGATTTCAAAGATTTGTAGGTTCTAAAAAACAATCTTGTGAGTCTTTCTCCTAACCATCTGAAGCACGGGTTGGACGACAGTTTAGAACTCCATCGATTTGCTTCACCATCCCCCGAGTGAAGAGCACGTTCTACTATTTGAGCTGTCATATGTGATATTTTTTAAATTTGGAATGTTTCTAAAACGATCTCTTTACTTTGCGGTTAATAGCACAGCTTGCGGTGAAATCACTTACTTTTGACTGTGATGGGCTTGGACAGCGTGCTTTGGTGATGTATGGCGGTGCCACATGTGCATTCGAGCTTACCGAAGGGAATGTGTTCCCTCCTGGGAGGTACTGTCTGCTATTGATATCATCCACCTGTCCACAAGGTACGTTTCACTTTGTTCACTCTTGAACCATGTGAAGAGTTTTGTCAATACTACCCAACACAGTTTAACTACTGACGGCTGTAGCGAATCGCTGCAATTTGATTCACTCGATGTGTGAGGACTGTGCCCGTATTGCCTGTAGATATACTACGATAAATATTTTCTTTTGATGATACTGGAGGAATTTAGTCCTAAAAACGAAAACCAAACTAGCCATTGAGGTAAGAAGCTCGCCAAATCGCTGTTTGGTTGAAGATAATAGGAGTATACAATTTTTCTCAAAATAATAACGATAATTCTATGAATAAAGTAGAAACGAATTCGTTCAGAGGTAGAAAACTCCAAGAGCTGACACGTTGCTCAAGCCCAGACAGGAGAAATCCAGATATCGGATTCGGCTTTCAAAAACTCACCTTCGAGTCGAGCTGTACTGGAAGCGCTCAATGCATTAAACTAATAAGGACCTCTGCAAACGGTCGTTTGTCTTTAAAAATGACCCTTCCAGGATAGAGCCCTCTCTCCTAAAAGTCGTTAAATTTGTCTCTCCTAGGGAAGAGTGCAAAAAATCTCAAGTCAATTTTAACAATGAGTCAAATACGCCATTTTTGAAGAAACTGGTTGCGTCAGTTTGTTTTTCTCACCTTAGTTTCTTCCTTTTTTGGAGACGTAATTCGCGATAAACATTGTTTAGTGCCAGCGGCTAAAATGGTTAATGTGATGCAGGGTATGACGCGACTATAATAATGGCCTTGAAATCAGTCTGTTCTTACTACTCACCCTCCGAGGAATCTGATTGGTGAATCAATCAAATCCGTACATAATATCAGCTGCATCAAAAACTAAAGAGCAGTTTGCAAATCAATTTGGTTTTCACCGGGGACTCAACTGAATCTCACGTTTATGATATTCTACAACTGAATGTGCTGCACACAGGGCGCCTGAAGTTTCATTTGGCACGATCTTCGTGACATCGCAGCATATTTTCACAAAAGAAACTACCTCAAGGTTGCTTAAAACTCTTCCACAGCCCACGACTGGCCTCAACCTTTTTGGGTCTCATCAGGTAGGGGCAATCCTCGGGCTTCCGTCAACCTTATATTCTGCTCCAACCTGGTTAGCCCCCAATAAGGGTGAAACCGGTCGTGGACCGTCCAAGAGTTTTCAGCAACCTTGTGAGTAGTTTCCTTGGTAAAGAACAATTTACTGGTACACCAAATGTTTTGCATGCTGACGAACCATCCGATCTGAATCTCAGGCTGAGTATAACCAACGTGAATGTTCATTTTAAACTCTCGGAGCAATCGATCTGAATGTGAAGCCATTAGCTTATGCTGTAGCACCAGGAAGTGACGGTTGTTTTTGAGAAAAAAACCTTATCAAGCGAAGTGGAGTCTCATGAAACTTTGGGTTGGATTCATGGTGGAATTTATGAATGTCATCTCAGAGAAGAAGAGTTAGAATTCCCACACAGTAATCCATTCAAGAGCAGGTTTTACCAGATTTTGTACAAACGATGTCCTTTTTCAACCAAAGTCATTTTGACTGGGCTAAAAATACCGTTTTTTTGCCCATAATAGATGGGGACATCGTGTTTCTCACTGTATTGTCATCACCCAGCTGAACTTTCATCGCGCAATCTGGTTCACAATAATTCTAAGTGTTCTAATCGATAATCAACCACTGCTGATCAATAGTAAGGCGTTTGAATATCCTGGCCCATCAAAATTAGACATGCGCCCATTAATGCTCCAAGCATTGTTCGCTTTTATCGATTTCCGAGAAAAAGTATACGCTCCATTCATGGGGGCTTTGCTATTTTGTCCACCAGCACAGCGCCAGAATTTGTGTCGGGCTGGAAGAAAATGAAATGGGTCTTTATTCGGTGGAAAAATGAGAACAGTGGACAATTTTCTTGACGAGACATACTACTCAGTTGAAGAATAACATGACTCCTCTGCAAAGTCTTCCTCGAATTGATGTTAAAATGAGTGTAACCCACCAAAAATGGTTACTTATTAACGGATAACTCCATTCATTTGCTATCAGTTACACACCTCTTACCTGTTCTATCGTCCGTTCGGAATTCCAGTGGTTTTGTGCATTCTACACTAAATTTTCTCAGGTTTTCATCACCGGAGTGGTGTCGTTCGGCTTGGTACAAACATTCAACCTCTGGGAAACTTGTGCTGTCGTACCGAAGAGTCGGTGGGAGCTATTCGTTTCCCCATAAAGCTGGAGGCTCCGTTCAAACTGCCTGCAATTCACCGACCATGCCAAGCGATTGAAAATTTCAATGTGGACTCTGAGTTACAGTTTTGCGTATATTATCCACAAGGAAGTAAGTTCTAGCATCTACTCAACCGGTTATTAACGTTTGTTAGATCAGCTCACCATTTTTAAGTAGTATCATATTGCTGGAATTAAGTTCCTCGAAATTGTGGAGCATTCCATTGTGGTCATATCTTTTCACGCATGCGCAATGCTCGGAAACGTTCAAGCACCTCTGGAATTCTGTAAGAACTTAGTTCTTCTTCAGGGCCACTGTCAAACTCTCTTTTTCTTGAAATCAGGGGGAACTTCTGGGTTCTGGACCTAACTCAGCTCGGATATCCTAAAAGGCCATGAGACGTATAATATGGAAAATTTCGAAGTCAAAACACATTGTGGAATAAAATTATATAATCAGTTTCCGTGTGGAAACCTTTCTCAAGGATTTCTACAACCGACTGAATACGAAAGATACTTCGGGGTTGCGATATTAAATCATACTTACGAATGGATATACCTTATAACCACAGCGGTGAGGATATCCTATCGAACCGAAAACAGCGTATACATTGCGTCTACAAAATTCCCTGTGCAGAATATCAGAGAGCCAGGTAACTCCACGGGGCACAAATTACACGCGCGGCTTCCTCCACGAAACTCAATTGAGCCCGAAAAACCTGAACGAAACTCAGCCATTGCACTCCACGCAGTTGAGTCAAACCGTCAAATCAACTTGTATGGTACAGGTCTGCTCCAATCAGGACTCAACTCACGCGTGAAATGAGCGTTCGGTCAATACAACCGAACTGCTTCAGCATCCCGTCTATCAGGCTTGGACTCACAGTGCGACTCAGTGGCATAGTAGCCAGATCTCAAGCACGGGTCTCAACGATGGCACATCACGACACCACAACAGCAAACGCAGGCGCATTCGAACAACGACGCGTGAACGCACACAGCTAATGCACGCCTACGCACGACGGTCGAATCTGTCATCTGTTCTAAGGGCACCAATCAGAAGACAGGATTGTCGGCCCAGATAACGCCTCAATTGGCTCGTTTCCGATCGATCACAGAGATGTTCGATTATAGCGCCCCATTCCAACGCACTGTGTTTCGACCAGTCGTGCGCACCGTCGGGTTTGAGCTCACCGCATATTGTTTCCTGTGACTGCAGGAACAAAATTGTTCTTTTCACTTAGTATTATATACGATGGGGGTGCGTGCCACACTGAAAATACAGTTGTTTGTGAACACCTATCATTTGCCTCTCTTTAAGGTCAGTGCATTCGGCACGGGTATGATGATATAGATGACGGCGAGCTGAACCACCTCCTCGTGGTGCCGATCGGGGTCAATGTCGAACATTCTTGCTCTCTTCAATACGCCATCGTCATCATTTCAATTTCACATCAAGTTGCGTGAATGAGATGCTGGACATCTTGGTGCAGCTTTTTCTGTTTCTGTGAGACAGGGTTATAGGTGGTTACTTGTACCGGCTTACCTGAAGCTCCCAGGTAATCAGCTAGTCCACACACGTCTTCTAGCAGACACAGTCACACCCACCCCCCAACACCTACTAGCCTCATTCTTTAAACCTAACACACTACTCATAAGGATGTTGAAAACCTTTCGATCTCATTATCGTCAGGCATTTCATTAGGCCCATACATATGATCTCTCTTTGTATGAAGTTGAAATAAATTGAGCTCGCCAGACCGGTCTTGCGAACTGATCCTCTGCTAATATTGATGAGCTATAAAACCCGGAAAATGTGAACGCTCTTCAAAGAAACATAAAATACGATCAAAATACAACTCACCTTCCAATAGTAATTTTTCCGTATGAAAACTAACTTGCACACAAAAAACGGAAACGGAAGATGGTATTCAGGTGACCTAGCATTTGTTGAACATTTGTTTAGGTGACAGTACATACCTGAAGCCAATCCACCGCAGATTGTTTCCTGTGACTGCAGGAACAAAATTATTCTTTTCAGTTAGTATTACCCGCAAAAATATTTACTCATTCGTGATGGACTATAGAAACTTAGAGTCAATACACAGTGCACTGGAATGAGATGCTATAATCTGACGTTACGAATATCGTGGGCAACCTTTTTCAAGGTCAAACGAGTTAAGTACGGTGTCATTTGGGTCGCCACTCGTATCTCCTGACTTTGTGTGTTAGCTGTGTGCGTGTACCCGTGATTGTTAGGTGACTAATCGGCCGGTCTAGTTATCTTGCTCACTACTTACTCATTCTTGATGGATAATGCAAAAGTACCGGCTTGAAATTAGTCAAACAAAGAGTCAAATGAGATCGAGTCCATAGTGTTGTATGTTAGGAAGAACTGAGGAATAACAATGGTGGATGGAATTAAGCTGACCAACTGTCTGGGAACGAGCATATTTCGCGTTCCTACTCATTGTAGCACCATGCTGTTGAGTACATCAAATCAGAAATGCTGGTCATGTCATAGAGGCTTGGTAGGCAAACAAATGGATTCGTCAAACGCTTCTCAACTGATTACTGCTCAGTCGGTTCCTAGCACTTTCCATCTGATCAGGGATCTAACCTTCGTGAGAAAAGAACTCAGCACAACCACTTCGGTTGACAGATAACAGGAATCAGGTTGTCGGTACGACCAGTCGTGCGCACCGTCGGGTTTGAGCTCACCGCATATTGTTTCCTGTGACTGCAGGAACAAAATTGTTCTTTTCACTTAGTATTATAAAAGGACCGTCAACCTTACTAGTTTTGCGCCGCTTGTGAGCCAAGACCCGGGCCAGTTGCCAAAACCAAATTGTGAATGCCAGTAGTTTAATCGAACGCATTCATCCATGCGAGTCTTTTCCATCCCTTGTGAAAGTCCACTATTTCAGTATGTTTTGGGGATATTGATTGTCACATCTACTTGTGTGGTCTATAGATCCACGGAGTTATCACCACTACACTGTCTGAAAGATCAGAGACCAGGAATGCTGTGTGCCCCTACATCCGTTGGTATAATTCATACATTTATGCACTCCTACATTGCTGTCACGACCTTTATGAGGTCAAATTTAGCCAAGTCATACTGAAATCCATGACTCTGCCAGTGTCTGTTCCGTCCTGTTTCCTATACTGGATCTCTGTTTTCTATTCTCCCAATCCTGTGCAACAGAAGCGCCTCAAACTCTGATAGTGTGGCCACGCGTTCTCGGTAGAAAGTCGCCAAGTGACGTGAAGTCGCCCAACCGAAACAATTCAATGCCAATCCATTGTGCTATCACGCTGCGCAGGAGTAAGCCCAGTGTCTACTTGTTTTGAACTGTTTGTTGTGTACAAGACTGTATTCACACTTTTTCGCCGACA